AGAGAGAGAGAGAGAGAGAGAGAGAGAAAGAGAGAGAGAGAGAGAGAGAGACCTGACAGAAATTGCCAGGAGGGAAAAAGATAAAAGATGCTACCATTTAAGTAACTATAAAGTACTAAACAATTTCATTATTTCATTTAATCCTTAGACTATTAAGATAAGTTAGACTTTACTACTACCTCATTTTTCAAGTACAAAATGTTGTAAGTTGTTAGGTAACTTGCCATGGCATTATTCTTCCCATTTTTACATTTGTGGAATCAAATCTTAAAGATATTAAAAATTTTATAAATCTTTTTGTGAAGTAAAGTCATAATATAAAATCAAACCCCCAAAGCCCTATGGTCCAAACTCTTTTCATTTACACCTGTGGTCCCTACAGAGCACAATCCTTTTTCTGTGCCACACACATCTGTGCAAATTTGGGGTGCTAGTTTTATCGTTAAAAGCTTTGCTAAATAAATTTATGTAACATCATCTGCAACACTTCCCACCCTTCAAGTAAAATATAGGCCAGTTAAACCTGGTCTGCTGCACCTGTACAATGGGAGTTCATCAGTTCCATCCAGTCTAGGAATTAAATATATTCCCTAAAACAGTGATGCTCAAAATGTAGCCTCCAGGTCAGCAAAAAAAGCCTCTCCTGGGAATTTGTGAAATCATTACCCCAAACCTTCTGAAACAGAACTGGGAATAGGACTCAGAAATCTGTTTTAACAAGACTGTTTGGTGATACATGCTACAGTTGGAGCACATGTCTCTAGAAGACTGACGAAACCAAGTTCTCAGGTTCCCTACTTATGGTAGGGAAATTTAATTGTTTTGGATTACAAAGTATTCTCTTCACTTTCCCAACACAGAAAATATATTTTAATCTCCTAGTACTTAATTTTAATTAAGACAACTTTCAAAATATGAAATCAAGATTTACCTTCAATAAAACATACTAAACATAAAATAATGGCTTCAATCATATACATTTGTGACTATGTTAACTAAAAATGCCTGGGTTAACCAAACTTTCATCATTAAGGCTAATTTTTACATTCAGTGTAATTTGAAAGTCTTCATCTTCCATTAAGTAAAAGAATAAGAATTCCTAGAGTTGTTTAAAACACTCATCAGCAATTCCTCCCCCTACATGTAAAGCACACATTCCAATATCTCTCCAGCCACATCTATTCAATTCATTTGAAATCATTCAGCTATTATGATTTTTAAATTTAACTAAGCTTGTCCAATAAAATGAATGATGATTTATTAAATTACCTGTATATGTCACTTTTCTTTTCTGGCTTTCAAGAGGCTTTTTCCTGCGCTTGTGTGCTTTTTCCCGAAATCTTACTGTTATCGCCACATTTGGAGTACCAGCATTATAATTCAGTTCAGGAAAAGATTTCGTTTCTACTAGATTTCCAAACTTTTTGTTGACAAAATGGTGGACAGCTTTCCTGTGGTCTTTATTTGCATCAGGCTTAAAGGTAAATTTGGAATTTTCTTTCTTTGCATCCAAATATTTAAAAAAGTCAAATGCTTCTTTTTCAGATACCAAGTGACAAAGTTCTCTATACTCAAGATTTGGTTTTACAACAATTTCACTGTTTTTTCCTACAGTTATTAAAAAAGGAAATTTCTGCCTAATAGCACTATGTAAACTAGCTCTCTGGTTTTTGTCAAGGATACTGCCTAATGAGAATTCAGGAGCTGATCCAAATGACTCAGTTTTAGAATGCCACTTTTCTTTTATATCACAGGCGAAATTATTCAGTAACTCATTAGTTTTTTCATCTAAAAAGGAGTTTAATACATCAGCTTTTTCTTCACATCTGGAAATCCCGTCATTGATAGTATCTTCCTTTTCTGCATCAGACTGATTATTTTGGTTACCATTGGAGTACCTGGCCAAAGTATTAATTTCTGGGTTACTTCCATCTTCAAATGATAGATTTTGAAGATCTAATTTTGTTTTTTTGGAAAAATTTTTTGTCTCTGGTTGTATTTCACTCATCTCACAAATAGGCTCATCAATGGTCTTATTAACTAACTGTGACTGTTCATCAATTTCAATAACAATAAAGTCACTTGGTGAGCTTTTTATAGTGCCACAAAATCCAACATGATCATTAATGAAACACAAAGAACTAAACTGGGTTCTATAATCTGTATCCTCTTCCATTCTTAAATAACGCCTACAAAAGAAACAAAGTGGTAGTTAGTACCAGAAAGAAAAGTTGTGGATGTCAAAATATAAATAGGCTTGCAAGATCTATTTATGTCTCCGTTTTAATTATGAGTCCTCTTCAATGACATTAATAATTTATGACAATATTCATGTGTACTTTGACCCTCCTATATCAAAATGAATAAAAAGGGAAACTGTTTCTGGTATTACTAGTGATTTGTAACTAGAATCTTCACTTACTCCAGGCTTCTATCTATTGTGCAGGATTAAAATAGGTCAATTTTAAATTTACCTTAAAAATACCATTTGTAGGCCCACAAAGAAGAGATGATAACATCATAGGTCATCCTCTCTCAGATTCCCTAAGGACTCTTCTTCATTCACTGATGACCTCTAGCTCACTATCTTCTTATCTAGCATGACTCTCATGATCATCCATATGGATCATCTGTTTATTTATTTATTTATTTTTGTTCTTCAAAAATGACTTTAATAACTGCAGGGTATTTTCTTAAATACATGCTTAACAATTGAACTACTTATTCATCTCTATTAATGATCATGCTCAATTCATCACTATAATGGTTGGCACTAAACAAACTTACACATAAAATGATTGCCTTTACTTCTTCTACCAAAAGGGTATTTTTCTTAAAAATGTATAAACAGGGTTGGGCATGATGGTTCATACCTGCAATCCCAGCACTTTGAGAGGTCAAAGAGGGAGGATCGCTTGAAACCAGGAGTTCAAGACAAACCTAGACAACACAGCAAGACCTTGTCTCTACAAAAAATTAAAAAATTAGCCAGACAGGGTGGCATGCACCTATAGTCCCAGCTACTCAGGAGACTGAGACAAAAGGATCACCTGAGCCCAGGCGGTTGAAGCTGTGAACTATGACCATGCCACTGCACTCCTTTCAGTCTGAGCAACAGAGTGACATGACTCAAAAAAAAGAGTGAATAAGGGATCTTCATATAACAATGCCAAATTGAATCTTAGAGAAATTACACTGATTTACAGAGGGCTAAGCAAAATATTTTCTTTCTTTTTTTTTAAGATTTTATTTTAAAGATGTGGGGTACAACTCAGGGTTAGGTACATAAGTAAGGCAAAGTTTGGTACCCTTATTGATGTTATGTGCCTCCCCTTCCCTCCCCTGGCAGTGTTCCACTACTGCCAATCCCTTTCTTATAGTATTATACATTTTGGGGGTCCACTTATGAGTGAGTACATGTAGTACTCAGATCTTTGTTTCTGTGGTAAATCACTCAGTATTATATTCCAATTAGAGTTGGAATTAGGATCATTTGTTTAATGCCTTGGTTCCTCAGTTCTTCAATCTCAGCCTCAGCCTCCCACCTCTACTTCATCTTGGTCATTCACTCTCACTGTCACAACTCTAACTTTTGATTTCCAAATACTGCATCAACTTTAAGCACCTGATTATCTGATCACTCCTACTGCCCTTCATCACACCTACTTTAATACTTCCATTCCGAAAAATTTTGGGATATTGTGAAGGTCTTTAATCCCTCCTTCTACTGTTAGCTCACTATAGTCCATTATCCACGTAGCAGACAGAATGGTGTCTTAAAAGGTAAGTTAAATCACATCACAACCTTCTAATCACATTTACAATAAAATCCAAATTACCCTGACTTGCAAAGACAACTATGATTCTGGACACTGTCTATTCTTCAAACTCATCTTTTACTTTTACCCCATTACCCATTATACTCTAGCTACACTCGCCTTCTTCAGTACTTTTGTCCTAAATTTCCTGTTTCCGAAGTTGTTCCTTCCTCAATCATATAGCTGCATCTTTTAGGATTCACATCGCCAGAGGTTTTTTTCATGATCAATAATCTATAGGAATCTGTAAGTGATACTCTTTCACAAAACCCCATTTAATATTCTGCAAAGCAGCTAAAGTTTTTAAGTTATTGCTTATCTGCTCCAGCTAGAATGTTAGATCCATGTGAGCAGAAACCTTGTCAGCCTTATTCCTACTGATTACCCCACATTTAGATGTGTCAAGTACATAGTAGGTCTGCAATCAACACTGATTGTTCAGTAAAGGAAACAACAAGCACCAAATAAGAACTATAGGAGAGAAGTGGAAGAAAGAAGGCACCACTTATGCCCATGACAAACAGGAGAGGCATCATGCAAGAAGTGGCTGTCTAAGTCCTTGAAATGTTTCAAGAAATAGAAATGAAACAAAGACATCACGTCGTGCACAAACAAAATGTGCAATGTGTGAGAGAAAAACAACCGCCCAGACATAGAGCAGTGGGAGTTAGGGTTTAGTACAGTTCTGGAAAACACAATTACAGCTGGATTAGTGCCAGACTATGGACGACACTGAATACCCTGTCAAAGAATTAAAATCCATTGGGTGGTTAATGAATGGCCACTGGAGGTGTTGGAGTAGAAGCGACATAATCCACAAAGATGCTTTAGTAAACTGACTGATAGAACTGAGCGAGACGCATCTGACACAGTAAGAGCTGGAGGAATTGAGAAATAACGTGATCAAGAGTACAGCTGTAAGCCGGGCTCGGTGGCTCAGCCTGTAATCCCGCGCCTTTGTGAGGCTGAGGTGACTGGATTGCCTGAGTCCGGGGGTTCGAGACCCGCCTGGGCAGCGAGACCTCATCTCTACAATAAATCAAAAAATCAGCTGGGCGTAGTAGTGCATGCCTGTAATTCCGGCTACTCAGAAGGCTGAGACGGAAGGATCGCCGGAGCCCAGCAGGTCGAGGCTGCGGTGGCCGGGAGCGGCCACTGCACTCCAGTCTGGGCGACAGAGTGAGACTCCAACCCCCCCCCCAAAAAAAAGAGTACAGCTGTAGGGACCGGGCTTGAAAGAATGACGATCTTTTCTTTCTCCAGAAACAAGAGGAAGATACACAACATTCTAAGCTAGCGAAATATGCAAAAAAATCTGGGGAGAACGTAATGATGAGGGAATTCCGGCCAAGCATCTTGGTAGAGCGGAACCGAAGTGGAGGGCGGCCAAGGAGCCCACATGGCGTTAAGCATGAGGGAACAGGGTTTCCACGCAACAGAGTCGCTGACGAGCGTGCGGGGCACAGCGTCGCGTGGCGGGCCCATGGCTGAGGAATTGTGGGTTGTGGAGGGAACCTGGGAAGCGGACAGAAATGGAGAATCCTCTTTCTTCATCAATCGCCCGAGCTCTGCGAACCCACGCCTGTAGACTCCACCGCTCCGCAGAACCAAAGCCGTCTTGCCTTCCAGCACGTCCAAAGGAATCCCCCAAGAGGCGGCAGCTATACCTGTTTCCTCTTCCTTCCCCAACTCCCCCCCCCCGTCCCAAGGCGCGACACGTCGCCCTCGTTTTCGGGGCAAAGGGTCGGGATCCTCATGGCCGACCTTGTCGTCGCTCCATACACAAAACGCACATCGCGCAAACGTCGGACCCCGTCTACCTCACTCCAGATGAAGGCGTTCCTCCGCACAGCGCGGTGCGCATGCCCGGAAGTCTCACATTTTTCAGCCTCCGACTGACATGTCTTTAAAGGGGCAGGCTCCCACATAAAGAAGTGCCCGGCGGTAGCCGTGGAATTTCTCCTCCTGGAGGCGCCGAGAGGAATTGGGAGGCGGAGCGAGGGCCGGGCCTGCCGGGTTGGCTCCGCCCCCGACCCGCCCCCTCGCCACTTCGTAGAGCTCAGGTTCTTCTTTGGTTTGCTCCGCCGGGCGGCGCCCGGCCCGTATTCCGCGTCCTGCGCCCTGGCAGGTAAGGGGTTGCGGCGTGCGCGCCTCCTTTATCTAAGGATGTCTGAGTTCCGCGTCCAGCCTCGGTGCCTTTGCTCCAGGACTGTCGAGGGCCCATGCGGGACGGAAACCGCCTGATCACCAGTGAGAAAGTTAGAGGAAGTAGGTCGCGTGGACAGAGCTTGCTCGGGGAGAAGGAGGTGGGTGGGGTTCTGGGGATCCAGATGCTCGTAGGATCTGAGGGTGAACCCGAGACTGGGAGGGGCGTCGCCAGCGGTGCTGGGGCTCAGTCGGACCCCTCCTCAAGCTTCTCAGCTCCTGGGCTGTGTGTTCCGTGAGCCCGTTTACGAAGTGACTTCTGTTCTGAGAACCAGGAAGTGCGGCCAGTGCCTGGCAGAGAGGCCTGTCTTCTGGACAGCTTTCGGAACCTCCGCGCCTTTCTGATTGGCTTGTTTCTTAGGCTTCTAAGCTTCCAGGGAATTAGGATGTGGAGAGGGGTTTGCAGGGTCAGATGAGTACTTGGAGGGGTAGAGGTGGGGGCGGGGATAGTGTACCTGATACCTGGGAAGAAGGAGAGGGGACTAAGGGATAAAAAGCAAACCCTGAGAAAGGAAGAAAACACTTTTAGTCATTTAGGATGGGAATAGCGCTATTAGTGCCTCCTGCAAAAGTATCTGCCCAAGGCTCCTTAAGAGCAGAGGATATTAAAGTCTACATTTTCCCTTCTGGGGGCAATCTTCCAAGAGGTCTATCAGAAAGTTCAGATGTCTATTATTCTCCAGGTTTCGTGCAAAGCATTCATTTGACGTTTGCTTTACATCTGTCAAAGGGAGCTCCTTATCTTCCAGGCCAAACTTACTCTCTTTATAGTCTTCTGTCTCAGGAAGTTTCCAAGTGTAAGGAAACTTGGTCAAGCCAAAAATCTTGGTGCCATCTTCTCACACTCCACATCAGCACATAGGGTTGTATTAGCTCTGCTTCAGGATCTATCTGGCATCCTAGGAATTCTGTGCATGTTCTGCCACCACCCAGATCCAAGCGCCCAGCCTCTCCCACCTGGATTATCGGGAAGCTCTCCAAATTACTCTTTTCCTGCTTCTCTGTCCTTACTCCAACATTCGTTTTCAATTGTAATACTTTATTTAACTCACTGTATTCAAAATATTGTCATTTAAGTATGTGATCAATATATTATTAATGAAGATTTTTTGGGGGGTCTGTACTAAATCTTTTACAGTCACTCTGTATTTGAAGCTTCCAGTACATCCCAGTTCAGACCAACCGCATTCCAGGTGTTCAGTAGTACCATGTGGCTGGTGGCTGCTACATTGAAGTACGACTCTGAGGGCTCTGACTCTTCTGACCCCAGGGAGGTGAAGGGTCTGACCCTCCCCCTTTTCTGCTACAGATGAGGGAAGACCCTCTTCCTGCCAACATCTATCTGCAGGCTCAAGGGTGGGAGAGACAATGCCCAGAGAGAAAGCAGTGGATGCAAACAGGAAGTGTCCACAGGTAGGCAGTGTTTCCACCTGCTGCTTGGCTGGGTCTCTTCCTCTTCCAGTGATCAGCCAGTGAAAGAGAGATGTGAGATCCCAGGAGAAGGGAGCCCATGTCTTCAGATTTGTTCACAGCCTTGACCTCCAGGGTTTAGAGTTAAAGGACTAAATTAAAGGCAAATTTCTTATTCTGTAATTTTATCCTGGCCCTAATGGTCAGGCTGTGGTTGTCTCCTTCTGTGGTGAGGGATATTCTTGTTAGATGGCATTGAGTTATACAGAAATGCATGTAGACATGATACATGTAACTGGCGCTTAAACTCACTTCATCATTCTTTATTTTCAGCAGTAGCCCCAGGATGTTTTTAAGTCTTGAGTATAGAGCATGTCTCTCCTCTTTTCAAAACTTCTACTGTCTCCTCATTTCACTCAGAGGATACAGTCAATATAAAGCCTATAAGACTCTGGGAGACTTGGTCACTTTACCTCTCTCACCTCATCTTCTACTTACTCCCTTTTCTGCAGTCTCACTATCTCCTTACTGTTTCTTTGTGGGCCCACTGCCAGCTTTTGCATTTACTATTTCTTTTGCCCAGAAACTTTTTGTGCAGATATCTCAGTGATCAGCTTTCTCATTCTTTCAGACCTTTAATCAAATGGCATCTTCTTCTTGAGGCTTACTCTGACTACCCTATTTAAAATTACAACCTCTTCTCTGTTTTTCTTTTCTTTTCATTTCACTTGGCAGAATCTAATGTACTATAAACTTTAATTGCTTATTGTCTGTCTTCCTCCATTAGAATATGAAAGCACCATGAGTTAAGATTTTTTTCTTTTCTTCTGATTTTCCTAATGCTTCCTCTCCAGGGCTCTAGAGCAATATCCAGCATAAAGCAGACAGTAAATATTTGGTGAGTTAGTAATATTATTATATTGTTTTTGTTTTTAAAATATATTCAAAACATTTTAAATACTTACCATTGAGTTTAAACAATGTTCAAGAAAGATGTGTTATGTTTAATTTATGACACACCAGCACATAACCCAGTTGGAGAAAGGAGTCCTATATTATTTAAGAGGTTCAGAAGGTATCACCAACTTTTGATCATAATAATGTTGAAGTGTCCAAAAATAAAGATTAATGACTATGCAGCATATCTTGCTAAGACCACATGGAAGTAAAAAATGTGTGCTAGAAAGATTATAAATATACTGAAGAACCATGATTGATGGAAAAACTTTGCTGTGTCTTCAGATCTCCTATTTGTACCCTCTCAGTATATCTTCACCACTGTTCTGAAAACTGAGCTTAAATACAACTCTACACATTTTTAAATATTTATTAATAACTTCTGTCAGAAAGTAATAACTGCTAATTATTTTTTTGCTACCTGTTATGTGACAAGATTAGGCCCTTTGCATTTATTTGTTTTAATTCTCATAACACTTCTTAGGTATTACTATCTCTGTTTCACAGATCAATAAACCAAGGCTCAAAGAAATTGATTTACTGACCCTAGTAGCAGGGGCTATGATTAGAACCTAGGCCCATGCAACTTCAAAGTCCATCTTACCGCCAAGTCCATCTTACCGCCACCCTTCTACAGTTTTTTCCTCTGATCAGAGTGTGAATGAAGCAGTCTTAAAATTATTAATTCATTCGATAAGACTTGTTTGCATTGCTATTTTGGACATAGTGCTAAGACCACATGTCTGTTTCAGAATGTGCATACATGTGGGAAGTCTTTGGGTTCCATGAGCAGACACTGATTTTAGTATATTTCTTAACTGACACTCCATTGTACTTGTCTTAGTTGTCTTATTTGAAAATAAGAAAGGTTTTCCTTTGCTATGAGACTTAATGGTGTGAGAAAATAGTCATGAGATATTTATTTGTTAAGCAACATATCCTGTTCAACCTCTGTTGAAACAAAGTAAACTCAAGAAAATCTGGAACAGTTTGAAAGAGATGACACTTTTTAAGTTGTTATAATCTACTTTCATTATTAAAAATTGAGAAAAACAAAATGAAAACAAAGTCATCATTAAAAACGCCACCAAAGGATAACCACTGTTAATATTTTGACTTTTTTTTCTTATAAGTATAGGGTTAGGAGTGGCATATGAATGTATATGCAAAGTAAAATTTTAATTTCTGGGGTTTTGAACTTGTGGAGCATGTGTGGAGGAGTTATCAGAAGGCCTTTCTTTTCCAGGTATCCCTACACCATCACCTCTGCTAGAAATCTTGGTATAAGAGAACTTATTGAATTTATCCCTGCCTTAAGACAGTCTGTTTTTATTCTCAATTTCCTGTATTTTAGCTGTAGTTGTTAGGATTACTAAGCAGCTCTTTCTTTTCTAGCTTTGCCAATCACATTGTACTTCTTACAGGAGAGAAAAATCTTAATAAGGAAAAATAACTTGAAGGGAGCACCTTCAAAGTCTATAGGTAGGTAGATATGGTTTCTTAATTTTTTTTAAAAATCAGTCTTTCAGTGAACACAAATGTTTTGAGTAGCTACTCAAGAATTTGGTTGGTTTCCTGCCCAGGAAAGTACACTTTCTAGCAAAGAAGGCAGACAGATACACAATAAAATATAATAAGTGTTATAATAGAAGAGTGACCAGGTGACATTTTGGAGCAAAAAAGATTACTATCAGGAAGCCAGTAGTGCCTTTTGAGTCAGTCTTGAAGGAATAATAAGCATTTACCAGGTGGCCCTTAAGGTGTTTGGGCAATAATTTTACCTAGCCCTAGGTTACCTCACTTCCTATTTCACATAGAAAATAACATTGTGCAAGAACTCTTCCTTTCTCTTGAAATATAGCTGTATTCAGACCTCTCTTACCCTCTTTCTAGATTTAGAGGAGGTTTTCTTCTATTAAAGGCTGATTTCTTCACCTGTACTCAGTTCACTTTCCCATTTGTATAGCCAACCAACTTAAGCCTTAAACTCCTACACCAGCAGTTCTCAAAGTGTGGTTGGGGTCTCCAGAACTCTTTCAGAAGGTCTGTAGGGTTAAAAATCACATATGGGTAAAAAATTAATTCTGAGTGCAATGGATTTTAATGTGCAAAGTTCATTGATACAACTTCAGATTCTACATTGCAACTTACCTTTAGAAAGTTACTCCTTGTCAAACTTTAGTGTAGTATCAAAGAGAAATTTTGACTACTTTATGAAGAGGCTATTAAAATACTCCTTTTCCTACTATATGTGTATGTGGAGCTGGATTTTCTGAATTTATGTCAACCAAAACAACATACTGCAGCAGATTGAATGCAGAAGTGGATGCGTTAATTCAGCTATCTGCTATTAAGTTAAACATTAAAGAGGTTTGCAAAACAATGCCACTTTTCTGTTTTTTGGAAAAATATATTTTTATTAAAATATATATGCTAACATGTAGTACATTTATTATTGTTATTTTAAATGTATTAATAAGTAGTGTTTAAATTTCTTCATGCCAATTTTTATAGTAAATATTAGTAGATATAACCAACATAAACAAAAGCCCTTTGAGGTCCACAATAATTTTTAAGAGGGTTAAGGATCCTGAGACCAAATCTGAGAGCTGCTGTTCACTCACTTGCGAGCTCCTCCCCTTCATACCCTGACTTCTTGGAAAATCTACAAAGGGTGCCAAAAAAAAGTATATACATTTTAAGTATGACATTCACTCAAAAGATGGCGTCAATCAAATGAATGCTAGCATCACCGTGCGACAGGCGGGACAGTCAAAGAAAATGGCAGAAGCACAGTTGCTCGTATATCATTACTGCACATTGCTATCATAATTTATTTCAACTTTGAAAAGTAATACATAGATAACATCTTTTAGAATGTGTATACAGTTTTTTGGCACCCCCCTGTATTTTTGCTATTCACTCACTTTTCTACTAGAGATGTTAAGTCACCAGTGACCTTCTGGTTTTCAAATCTAACCTACCAGTCAGTGCTTATTTTACATCTCTAAATCTTTTATACCAACCTGCCCCACATTCTAGAAATCTCTGGTATGCTACTGTCCTGGATTTTTTCTTGCCTTCATGACTGATCAACACTTTTAAAAGTTCTTTCACACCATCCCTTTCCATTCTAAACATTCCTAATAGGTAACCTTATTTTCACTGTTGCTTTAGTATGAATGTATGTTCTCAGTTTATATGAGGGAACTTTAAAAAGTTTGTGGAAAAATTGAATTAGAAGATTAAAAAACCGTATTTGTCAGCATAATCTCCATCAAGTTCAAGACACTTTTGTAAATGATGATACCAGCCATTTAGTCTATTCCTAAAGCACTGAGGGTCCTGGGAATTTTACCATGTCAATGAAGTCTCTTTTACATTATGAAGAAAACTGGGTGCCCTTTAAGAAATTTTCTGAGATTAGGAAACAAAAAAGCCAGAAGGTGTATGCCTAATGGTTTCCCACAAAGTTGCCCTTGTTTGAAGAGAGAAATGAGCAGAAGCATTGTTGTAGTGGAGAAGGACTCTCTGGTTCAGCTTTGCTGATCTTTGTTCTGCTAAAGCTTTGACTTACTTCATTCAAAACACTCTCATAATAAGCTGATGTTATCATTATTTGGCCCTCCAGAAAATTAGCAAGCAAATTTCCTTGGGCATCCCACAAAAACTGTTGCCATGACATTGCTCATGACTGGTCAACTTTTGCTTTGACTGGACCATTTCTACCTTTTTGGTAGCCATTGTTTTGATAGTGCTTTGTCTTCAGGATCATACTGGTAAAGCCATGTTTCATCTTCTATTACAATTCTTTGAAGAAATGCTTCAGAATCTTGATCCCATACTAGTTTCAAATTTTCATTGAAAGTTCTGCTCTTATCTGCAGCTGCTCTGGGCACGGCAGTTTTGGCACCCATTGAGTGGAAAGTTTGTGCAACTTTATCAGTAAGAATTGTGTTAGCAGATTCAATTGAGATGTCTGGTGTTGACTATTGTTTCTGTTTGTAGGTCCTCTTATAGATCCTCTTGAACAGAATGAATTTCTTCAAAAATTGATATGAGTGGTCTGCAGCTGCAGGCTACATCTTCAACATCATCTCAACCCTTCTTAAAGTGAGTTATTTATTTGTAAACTGCTGATTTCTTTGGAGCATTTTCCCCACAAACTTCATTTCCCCCACAAACTTTTCATAAAGCATCAATGATTTCACCATCGTTTCACCCTTAACTTCACCATAAATTTGATGTTTGTTCTTGCTTCAATTTTAGCAGAATTCATGTTGCTCTGATAAGGGCTCTCTTAAAACTGTCTTATCCTTCTTAGTGCTTCAAACTAGATGCTGTTCAGAAATGTTATAACAAGTTAGTATGAGTTTGTTTGTAAAAAAAAAAAAATTGAAATCATGCATAGCTTTTTCACAATATGCATTTTATAAGAACTTTATGAAGACTCCTTATATATGAGAATGCTTACATAGAGAACATTCTTTGCTGAAACCTCTCTCTGAAGCTCCAGACCATATATATGGGTACTTGTTGCCAACTCCCCTAGATGGTACCCAAGGTAGATATTTTGCATTTAACATGAGCCAAAAAAACAAAAACAAAAACAAAAAACCATGTAATCATATTCTTTGTTCCCTCTCTCCCCCTTTTAAAAATCCCTAATCTCTGATGAAATTGTTTTGATTTGGCCTCCTAAATCTTTTAATCTTTTTATTCTCCATTCCCTGACCCTATACTTTTTCAGGTTCTCATTTCTGCTCACATAGATTATTGCAGAAGTTTTCAAACTGGTCTCCTTGCCTCAACATACATCTTTTTAATTTTTTATCTGGAGGAATCCACTAAATCCAATAAAATCATATCACATCCATTCTCAAAATCCTGAAGTGGCTCCCCTGTAACTTTTAGTATAAGTTTAATCCCTTGTCTTAGTCTATAAGGCACGTGATTATTTGGCCCTGCTACCTCTTCAGCCTCATCTCTTCTCACTTAATCATAGGCATCCTTATGATGCAGCCATAGCAAACTTCTTGTCTGAGCCTAACCCATGTGCTCCGGCCATTTTCCATGCTTTTTCCTCTACCTGGAATTTTCTTTGGGGGGTTCTCTTTATTCCCTTTTATTCACCCTTCTAACCTCCCACTACACCTAAATCTATCTTGATATACCTCCTTCAGACTGCCTGTGCTTGGTGCTCCTTCTCTGGGTCCCATAACACTCTGAACATACCTCTTGCAACATCTATCATTCATTGTCACTGTTTGTATCCTCTGGTAGTATGAACAGCTTGGGAACGAAGATTTTTCTCTTCTCTGTGCTTCCATCTCTTGGTATAAAGCTTGACATATATGTTTGTTGAATGTATGAATGAATGAATTAATGAATGGAAAAGAATGGTCTTTCTAGAAAAGAGAATGATATGAACAATGTATGTGTTATAAAAGCAGGGTCATGCTGCATGAATTTTAGAATCAGACATAAGTTCAAGTCCTAGATTTTTCACGTATTACCTTTGTGAAATAGAGATGACAAAATTGCCTTAGTCACTGAAAAGATTAAGTGAAATCTATAGATAACCTTGTATAGAACTGAGTAATAATTTATTCATTCCTAAAATAAATACCTAACAAAACCAATATCTACAATGTCACTAGAATATATACAAGTCGCTAGGTATATATTAATGAATAAGATGAGCGAAGTCCCTGAACTCATGGAGCTTAATGTCTAATGGGGAAGACAGACAATAAACAAGTAAACAAATAAATATATGATTACAAATATGTTGTACAATGTTGAAAGATAATTAAGTGGAGGGCAGATAGACATACTTAGGTGTAGTGGTCAAGGAAGTCTAATGAGAAGAAGTGAATACTAACATAGAAGATGTAGTGGTCAAGGAAGTCCAGCGAGAAGAAGTGAACACTAACATAGAAGCCTAGGAAATGGAGATACTTTTTGCTTTTTGCTTCTTTGTAGCTTTAGAATGTTGTTCCATATCAGTGTATTATTTACTCCAAAATTAACTGTGTTGTATTTTTAAAATAGAAATATATAGTGAAGCAGAAATAATTAACAGAAGAATATCTGAATCTGTTTGTCTTGATTAATTTGGAAGGAAAGATTACAACCTACGAGAATGAGAAATATAGAGAACAAATAAAAACCATGCAGAGAAAGGTAAAGGTATGAAAGAGTCACTAAGGACAATGAGAGAAGACAAGTAGATGGATTAACAGCAGTGTGGAAGGCTCTGTGGAAAAGTGGGGACCGTAAAATTGAATTCACACCAGTCTGTCCGGTTATCTGGTTCTCTACAGCTGCGTTTAGCAGTCCTGTATATAAGTAAAATTGTGAGATTTATCCCTGGCTGCAACGCTCCAGGGTAGAGTAACAGAAGAAAAAGGATTTTACAGAAATAAAGAATCTGCCTAGAGAGTAGTTAAAGTGGTGATCTACAGGCTTTGGCATTGTAGGGAATGAATTGTGCTCAGACAGATCTCATGGACTCAAAAAATATGCAGGGGTCAAGGAAGAGCAAGTTAGGTGGAAAGTAGATGAATGAGCCATGTCTTTTAATATTGTACAGATTGTTTCAGTACTTTTTTTTTACTTCTACCAAAGAGCATTACATACATTTTTAATAGTAAATAATTACTGATTCAGAAAAATATTTTAAATTAAAAATTTGTTTGTTTTTTTTAATTTTTTTTTTTTTTTTGAGTTGGAGTCTCACTCTGTCGCCCAGACTGGAGTGCAGTGGCCAGCCCCGGCCACCGCAACCTTGACCTGCTGGGCTCTGGCGATCCTTCCGCCTCAGCCTTCCAA